TTTTTCGAGACAGGGTTTCTCTGTGTAGCTTTGGAGCCTGTCCTGGAACTCACTCTGTAGACCAGGCTAGCCTCGAACTCACAGAAATCTACCTGCCTCTGCCTCCGGGGTGCTGGGATTAAAGGTGTGTGCCACCAACGCCTGGCTATTTTAATTTTTTTGAGACAGAATCTCACCATAAAGCCTTGGTTGGCTTGCAGCTACCTACATAGACCAGATTGGCCTTGAACTCACAGGGACCCGCCTGCCTCTGCCTCCCAGGATTAAATAACTTCTTAAGGATATTCTGCACTTGTTATCCCTCCCACTTCCAGAAATTTTCTTTCTTTTTTTTTTTTTGGTTTTTCGAGACAGGGTTTCTCTGTGTAGCTTTGCGCCTTTCCTGGAACTCACTTGGTAGTCCAGGCTGGCCTCGAACTCACAGAGATCCGCCTGGCTCTGCCTCCCAAGTGCTGGGATTAAAGGCATGCGCCACCACCGCCTGGCTTTATTTTCTTTAATAAAGCTATGTTCTCACTCCTAAATTTTTTTTTTTCTTTATCTGGAGAGATGGTTCTGTAGTTAAGAAAACTTGTTATCCCAGGGGAGCAGGGTTTGGTTTACAGCACTCACTACTGTCTGCAACTCCAGTTCCAGGGGATCTGACACCCTCCTCTGACTTTCACAGACGCCAGGCACACACGTGGTGCACATACATACACCCTGTCAAAATACCCATACATACATTATAACATGAATAAATCTAAAAATTAAGAACAAAATATGGGGGCTGGAGAGATGGCTCAGCGGTTAAGAGCAGTGACTGCTCTTTCAGAGGACTCGGGGTTCAAGTCCAGCACCCACATGGTGGCTCACAACTGTCTGCAACTCCAGTTCCAGGGGATCCGTCTCCCTAACACGGGCAGACAGGCAGACATGCAGGCAAAACACCAATGCACGTTAAAAAACAAACAAAAAGAGGAAGAAAGAACAAAATGTGAACGGGACATGGCATCTAGGTACTGGAATGGCAGAGACCGGACTTGATGGAGGTGTGCCCGAAATCATGGCGTATTAAAGCAATTTGTTGTTGCATTAAAATCACTGGCTAGGCAGAGAGCAAACGAGTTTCATCCAGTCTTTCCAACTTAAAAGCTCGCGAGCTCGCACATCAGTTCCATGTAACTAAGCCTGCTTCAACGAGATTGCTTTCGATCCTGTGTAGGGCTGAAAGGGTTAGTACGGCATGACTCAATTCTAGAGGTGACAGCGTAGCGCACGGACACAAACAGCGCAGCCATTTTTCTTCACGATCATCAAGTTTGGCTGCTACAGAACGCCGTAGATTCGTTATCTTCGGTACGGCAGCGTCTCCGAGGCTTTTTGCAACGTTTGAACCCAACCACTTGCCGTACGGACGCTACTGGTCAATCCCCAAGTGGGCGGGAAAGGGACGTTCGTTGCGCGCGTCCTTCGACCCGACGTCCACTGCGGCAGCACGCTCGCACGCTGAGGGGGGGCGGAGCCACTCAGTGGCTTTATATAGTCTGCGCGAACGCCGGGCCGACCTCTATCGGCGGCGTGTGACGGCGAGATGGTACGTGTCGCGATGCGGGCCGTCGCCTAGGCTCTGTGCCATGGTATCCGCGACCCATCGGCGCCGTCGCGGCCTGCCCATCACCGAGAAGCCGCTCTAGGAGCCCAAGGCACATGGCGCGGGCCGCGACGGGGCCTAGACCTCTCTAGAGGACGTGCGGCCTAGGACTGTGGGGGAGGCCACGGGCTGGGCGCACGCCTGACGGCCCTTCTTGCTTTAAAACGGCTTAGTCTTTGGTTTTTGACGCCGATTTTATCTTAGTGGAGCATTTGGCCAGGCTGGTAGAGGCCGCGGCCTTTGGATTGCGTTGACTAAGACGGGAGCCATTGTGCGAAGCATAAACGAATTTCCATTGTGGAATGTGCTTCCGCGAAAGGAAAGGGGGTCTCCGGAGTTCCCAGAAGCCACAAATGATGAACCTTCTGACGGGCGGACAGAAACTCTGTGCTGATTGTCATGTTCTGATTTGGCGTTGGGAATTCTAGAGGCCATCCTGTAAAGGGCTGACGCTCGAACCGCCATGTGGCCATTTAGCCGTGAGTCATACATGCTCGAACGTAAACCAGCTCGTTTAGGGATTTTTAATAGTTTTGTACTGATTATGAAGGGCGCATGGCAGTGTTTAAAGTTAACGTTAGCAAAAGCCCTGTTGAGGTCTACTATCTGAGATTATTTAAGAGTGACATGCTCTCGGTATAATGGGTTGATCCAAGCAGTTGTAATGTTTGTGATTTTCTCCCCCAGTCTCACAGGAAGTTCTCTGCTCCCAGGCATGGGTCTTTGGGCTTCTTGCCTCGGAAGCGCAGCAGCCGGCATCGTGGGAAAGTGAAGAGCTTCCCCAAGGATGACCCTTCCAAGCCTGTTCATCTCACAGCCTTTCTAGGCTACAAGGCTGGCATGACCCATATCGTCCGGGAAGTTGACAGACCAGGATCCAGTATGTAGAGTGCTTCCTTGTCCCAACTTGGGCCTGGGTATACTTTCATTCAGGAATGGTTGGTACTGGAGTAAATTTGCAAAGCCACAGCAGATGTTCCACCTTGGGTGGTTTGTGCTTTTGAGTCTGAAACAGGTGACTTAGGTGACAGTGCCCACTTATGGTGTAATGTGCTAGGCGGATAATGTGGCCCTGTGTAAAGTCCTGTGGGGATGGAGTTAAAGTTGGTCTTTCCCACCCACGTGGATGCCTGAGGATCAAAACTTAGTCCTCAGAATGGAGTGCTCTCTTGCATCCTTAGCTTTAAGGGTTTTTTCAAGTCTGAGATGAAGCATGTGACATTTTGCCAATACTTCCGGGAATGTTGGGATCAAAGGTGATAATCACTACCAGGCTTAATGTCTGTTCTAACAGCAAGCATGCAGAGTGAGAAGTGTAGCATAGGTATTGTGAAACACCTGGGGACTTAGGCCTCAACTGTAGTAAAGAGCTCCCCTTGCAGAGCCTGGAGATGTGAGGAGCAGTCCTGGAAGGCCAGAGAGACTTGTGGATCCATGAATGTGTTGGTAGTTGTCTGCCCACTGATGTCCCTTTGCCTTCACAGAGGTGAATAAGAAAGAAGTTGTGGAAGCTGTAACCATTGTGGAAACACCACCCATGGTAGTTGTGGGCATCGTGGGATATGTCGAAACCCCACGAGGCCTCCGGACCTTCAAGACAGTATTTGCTGAGCACATCAGTGATGAGTGTAAAAGGCGTTTCTACAAGAACTGGTAAGGAGGGGACAAGCCAGAGAGCTAGAATTTAGGATTTTTTTTTCCCCTTTCAAGGCAGGGTTTCTCTGTAGCCCTGGATGTCCTGTAACTTGCTGTGGACAAGACTGGCCATCCATTTGCCTCCCAAGTGCTGGGATTAAAGGCGTATGCCACCACTTAGCTTGTACTGGGTTTCTTAGTGCAAGTACATTAATCAGAGGTTTCTGGAGACAGTCCTTGGTTTCTTTCTCTTTTTTTTTTTTTAAGCTAAAATCTGACTCCATTAATCCTCATGGGTGGTTGGAGTTAGTGTTTTGATACTGAAATGGCAGATGCAGCTAGGAAATAATTAACAGACAAGCCTCATTCGTTGAGTTTGTCCTTTGTGTTGGAGATTGAACGGGAGCCTTGACTGTACCAGACAAGTTCCTTGCCTCTGGCCTGTGTTCCTGGGTCCCTGATATCATTATTGTGAGATGTTCCCCCAGGTAGAGAAAGGGAGATTCTGGTGCCCTGGAGCAAGAGTTGTGTTCTCTATGTGTGTGGCTTACATTAACCTGTGCACCTCTGCTCAGCTCCGCTCGGCTCTGCCCGATGAGCTCCATCCAGGCTCCGCTTGCCGGTGGAAAAGGCTCCTTAGAAGCCGGCAATGAGCCCCATGCCCACATGGTGCCAGTCTGCCTTCCTCTCACCCCTTGCAAGGGTGATGAAGGCCTGCACCGGGCCCCTCCCCCAACTCTGCTCTGCTCCTGAAGGCACAAATCTAAGAAGAAGGCCTTTACCAAATACTGTAAGAAATGGCAGGATGACATGGGCAAGAAACAGCTGGAGAAGGACTTCAGCAGCATGAAGAAGTACTGCCAAGTCATCCGCATCATTGCCCACACTCAGGTGAGCACCGTCACCTAGGAGCCAGGGAGGCTTTTTATTGGCTCCTGTTCAGTTTGTCGTTCCACAGGGATTTGGGGGCATTAGGACACTCGGGGGTCTTAAAACAATTCCTTCAAGAGTAGACAGGCCAGTCCCCAGCTTACTTGCAGCTTCAGCTTGCCTCTTGGCCAGGGGTGGTGTACTCTAATGGTGCCTCTGACCAGCAGAGGGCACTGTGGCACCTTACTCCATCTAGGCTTCCTGTGATCAGCTCACCCATCAATGCTTAATTGATGGGAGTCTAATAGCAAGGTGCTGGCACTGTCCTGTAGTGGCATGGGTATTTAATTGAAAATTTCAGCCTGTTAACCATAATAGACTTCTTCTAGTCTTGCTTTATCCTTTGCTTACCTGGAACTCATATTGACATTGAAATGATGGTGGGAGCCTGGGTTCATGTATTTTGTTTTCTAAACAGACAGCTCATTAGATGGGTCACAGGAACCATTTAAAAATCTTCCTGTCTCAGCGTATGGGCTACTTGGCTCATTTTGACAGCCAGCCAATCACTATAATAAAAAGATGGCTGACAACCTCATCTGAGCTTTCTCCACTTCTTCCTAGATGCGTCTGCTTCCTCTGCGCCAGAAGAAGGCACACTTGATGGAGATCCAGGTGAATGGGGGCACTGTAGCCGAGAAGTTGGACTGGGCCCGGGAGAGGCTGGAGCAGCAGGTTCCTGTGAACCAGGTGTTTGGACAGGATGAGATGATTGATGTCATCGGGGTGACAAAAGGCAAAGGCTACAAAGGTAAGCTTTGTAGTGGTTTGTGACGTGGATGAGGCATGGGAGCTTGACCTGGCTATTCTGTGATGAGGCCTTGGAATGTGCTGGATACAGCACCCGAGTAACACTGCGGAAGCATTTCCTGTTGCCTTCCTTCTGAGAACAGCATCCCTGGTCAGCATGATTGAGGTTCTAGGGATTGGGTGAAACTTTGATTTACTTCTGGGCACTAAATGTTAAACTGCCTTAAAATCAAAGACATGGCAACCTCTGGCCTCCACTTGTGTATGCAGATGCAAATACTTGGGGCCAAGGACTGTTTCAGCAGACACCCATCCAGTCTAATTTGAAATATGGGATGGTATTCAGCTCCTCTTAGTTCACCCATTGTGTCATAAATAGGTAATTCAGTCGTCTCGTCACAAGTACCTCAAGATAATTCTAGTGTGCACTAGCAGGGAAGGGAGGGAGTTGTGTCCGGACCCTTGTAACAGTGACATGTTCTCTCCAGGGGTGACCAGTCGGTGGCACACCAAGAAACTGCCCCGCAAGACCCATCGAGGGTTGCGCAAGGTTGCCTGTATTGGAGCCTGGCACCCTGCCCGTGTGGCCTTCTCTGTGGCTCGGGCTGGGCAGAAAGGCTACCATCATCGAACAGAGATTAACAAGAAGGTAAGGCTGACTGGGATCCTGCAGCGGGGAGGTGCTCAGTCCCTTAGGACAGTCACTGGTGAGAACCCACATCTCCAGCCCTTTCCCAGGGAATTTTTGAAACGTTCATTTTATAAGCAGTGTTTCTGCTTATTAGATGAATAATGGCTGCATGGCATAGGTTGCCTTGGAAGTTTTTTTTAAGTCAGACTCATGTGGCCCAACATGGTGACTAGTTGAGGACTTTGGGCCTTGAACTTTCCTGGGTCTATCCTATCCTCTTGAGTGTTGAGACTAAAACTTTGTCCTCCAGCAGTAGCAGTATTTTTGATCAGGTCCATGTACCTGGAAAACACATCTGTAGACTCACTTCCAGACTGGGTACCAGACTGGCTGCTGATCCACCCACCCTTGGTCCTTCGGACTGTCTTATCAGTTACTGATGTTGTGTTTGTCAGATTTACAAGATTGGTCAAGGCTACCTCATCAAGGATGGTAAGCTGATCAAGAACAACGCATCTACCGACTACGACCTGTCTGACAAGAGCATCAACCCTCTGGTGAGTGCTGGCTTCTGCGGGATGGCGCTCATCATACGTGCCCCCTCTACCCACTGCCTAGCTGTGCTTATGCTGGTGGGGTGGTGAGGAGCGGGTTCCAGCCCAGCTGTTCTGTGATGAGGCTCTGGAATGTGCGCTGGGCACAGCGCCCGAGTGAGACTGAGGAACCATTCCCTGTTGCCTTCCTTCTGAGAACAGTTTTGCTGACCATGATTGCCTGTAATGCAACCAACTGGCCACATTCTTAATTTCACCAATAACTTGGATTCTCTAGGGTGGTTTTGTCCATTATGGTGAGGTGACCAATGACTTCGTCATGCTCAAAGGCTGTGTGGTGGGAACCAAGAAGCGAGTGCTCACTCTGCGCAAGGTAAGACTAACAAGGTCTGTCAGGGGTTGAATTCCTGGAAGAAGGGCATATGGCCCGCCCTCCCTCACATGGCGGTTTCCATAGCTTACCTGAGTTCTGCCATTCAGCCTCATGTCAGTGTAGTGCTATTGGGCTGTCTGAGTGTCAGTCACTGACTTTTTCCTTTTGGCCCACAGTCCTTGCTGGTGCAGACCAAACGACGTGCTCTGGAGAAGATTGACCTGAAATTCATTGACACCACCTCCAAGTTTGGTCACGGTCGTTTCCAGACCATGGAGGAGAAGAAAGCATTTATGGTAAGAACCTGCATGTCCCATTTTGTCTTGAGTGTGTGTTTGCCTCTTTGGCTGTGTGCAAGGATAGTGGAGACTGACTCCTGCCTGCTCTTTGTCTTCCGCAGGGACCACTCAAGAAAGACCGCATTGCCAAGGAGGAAGGTGCCTAATGCCAGAAGCACTTTGCGCAGCTGGTGGGGTCTCAATAAAAGTTTTTCCAGTGACATTGGCTCCTCCTTTTCTTTTCTGTAGGGCCATGGTCAGCCATTGATTGGGGGGGGGCATTCAATACTGACACTTAAGTGATGAGGGCCCTAGTGCCTCAGCAACACTTCAGGGTTGTTAAAATGCTTGGCTTAATGCCTGAGCGACATATTATATTATGTCCCTCCTGTCTCTTCTGGGTCTGGAAGGTCTGTTTACAGAGCTTGGGTGACATCACACCTGGGTTGTGACAAGTGGAGGTAGGACTTGATGTCATTCCTTTGGCAGCACTGATAGGACTTCTGGCCTGATTAAGTCTGCAGGTTTGGTAGCTACATGGTAGATTCCAGTTGGAGCTTGACTGGTACATGCTTGTCTGTGTTCTTGGCATTGAGGAGGCTGAGGCAGGAGGATCATGAGTTTTAGGCCTGTCTGGACTACACAGATTTTGTCTTAAACCAAGCCGGGCAGTAGTGGTGCATGCCTTTAATCCCAGCACTCCGGAGGCAGAGGCAGGCAGATTTCTGAGTTCAAGGCCAGCCTGGTGTACAGATTGAGTTCCAGGACAGCACCTAAACTACACAGAGAAACCCTTTCTAAAAACAAAAACAGAACAATTTAAGAAAAAAAAGCTTTAGTAAATGAGGCAAAATTGCCCAGCTCTTTGATCCCATCACCTAGGCAGATCTGAAAGCCTAGTCTACATGAGAAATTCTAGGACCACCAGGACTACACTGTCTGAAAAGATCACCTCACCTATGGTGGAAGTAGTGAATTATGAAAAGGCCACATCCCCCACAAGGGCTGTTAACTTTCTCCAAGCTCAGGCGCCTGCCATTTCCACCCTGAGACCTTTGTTCTCTGGACCACGTTCCTAATCATCCTGGCCCACAACTAGAGAATAAGGCCCTGTAAAACCTAGCTGACCTGGGATTAGTGAGCAAAAGGGTCAGGAATCCTTTAGTGTCTTCTACAGGCCTAATACATTCCTAAAAGCAGAGCCCAAAGGAGGTCCACGCAGGAGCTGTTGTGGTTCAGTGGTCACTTGGTGCTGTCTGGCAATTGATCCTGAACTTACATCCTGGGCCACCAGAGGGTGGGTGCAGCACATGGCTAACAGCCCAGCTCCACTGGTATCCAGTTGGCTCAGGCACATTCTAGTAAGATCTCTGATCTTGTTTGGGTCTACAGAGCGAGATCCTGGACAACACCAAAGCTACACAGAAATCCTGTCTTGAAAAAAACAGAACAAAAAAATTCATTATCAGCCTCTCTACTCCAGGCTTGGCCTCTTTGGAAGCTGCAAGGAATGGAGAGACATGTACCTTGAAGCTACTTCTCTCAGGAACTTGTTTACCTCTTGGAGGCAGGTGAGAAATCCAGAGAAAACAGGCCACTGGCTGCCCAGTGATGGGGCCTCTCAGGCTAGAGGAAAGGATGCCTCAGGTGAAGCTCTGTAGTATGGGCACTCAGGCAGAGGAAATAGAAGGTGCAGAGGCTCTAGGCCTGAGACCTCTTGGGCTCTGGTCTCAGCTCCTGAGGGAGGAGAGCTGTGCCTGCCTAGTTACCTGCAGATTCTTGATTTCTAGGACACAGCTTAGCACACAGTAGGTGCTCAGTAAACTGTGGAGTATTGCATCTGTACCTGGGTGGGAGTCGCCAGCATTTCTGCAGGCTACTGGGATGGGGGCTGGGTCATTGCCTCTCCCCACCCATCTCTCATGACTGTGTCTCTCTAGTAGTTCCTGTCACGCTTTCCTCTCACCAGAACCCAGACAGGCCTCACTGGAATCCTGTGGTGGCAAAACAAGGAGTTGCATTCCAATCCTGAAAAAGAATACCTGCTGGGAATTTCTGAGCAAGTGGGAACAGGGAGGTAGTGGCAGGAGCCACCATTACCTTAAAAGGCATGACAAAGCCGTGTCTTTACCAGTTACTAGGGATGGCCCAAGGGGGCAGAGGGATGGCCAGCTGGCTGCCACCTCCCTCAAAGTGCTCTAGCCTGGACCCTGGTGACAGTCTTGCTGGGGTGGGGATGGGTCCCCAGGCTGTCTCCTTTCCCCAGTACTAGGCAACCTCATATCTGCCAGCTCTCAGCATGCAGCTACGTGTCTGAAGTGCTTGTGGTCCCCCTACCTGCCCTGCCCTCTCCTGAAGACCTGCCTGCCTCTCTCCATCAGGGGCCTGGTCTTTGGTCTAGCCCCTGGCCAGCTTCCAAGAGCCTGGTAGCTCCTTTTTCCCTGCCTGGCCCTGAGATCTTAAGAGTCTTTTTTTTTTTTTTTTTTTAAGATTTATTTATCTTATGTATATGAGTATCTTATTTGCATGTATGATTTTATGCCAGAAGAGGATGTCAGATCCCACTATAGACTGTTGTGAACCACCACGTGGGTGCTGGGAATTGAACTCAGGACCTCTGGAAGAGCAGCCAGTACTCTTAACCGTAGAGCCATCTCTCCAGCCCCATCTTCAGAATCTTTAGGGCCACTCCTTGAAGTGGGTTCTTTTACCACCCCATGGTACAGATGCAAAGCTGAGGCCAGGATGGAGTAAGCATGATTAAGGGTGCATGGTGACCAGCTGTGGGGTGGCCCTGCTGGGACCCAGATCTGCTAGGAGCAGCTGCAGAGCCGAGACCAGCTGCTGGGGGCAGCAGAGAGCCTGTCTGGTGACTCAGGGCCACCTTCTTCAGTCCCTAGAGCTGTTGTTCCCATTTCACAGACGGAGAAGTGAGGTCATAGCTGCTTCTGAGCTTCTTTGGGTCACACACACATCACTATGTGATCCCAACAGCCTACAGAAGGAAACTGAGGCAGCATGAGGCTAACCATCCCTTGGTGATACTCCTAGGAGCAGGGAAGCCAGAGGCAGATGCTGGTTGCCTCAGGAAGCTAAACTCTGGACCACTGTGTCCACTGCCCACAACAAGTGGGGCCAGCAAGGATCCATGAGGGATGGAGGGATGTGAGGATGCAGTCCCTTGAATCCCTCTGTCCTTCCCCTTCCCCACGCTCATCCATGGGCTCTGCTCTCTTCACAAGTGGGGGTGACATGGTGCTCACCCCAATAGTAAGCACAGAAGAGTCAGACACCACAGTGGATGCCTG